CTGTCACAGCTTTCTTCAGGTAACAGAAGTTTGCATAATTTCTGTGCAAGGGATTATATCTTGATCAAGGTAAAATAATAAGTCTTCCTCACTATGTATCTAAAATTCCATCATTTATTACCTTTTGGTTGTACGTACATTTACATTTCAATTCCAGTAGAAAGCTGGATAGGGGATAGAAACAGAAAAAGACCAAGTGGTCCATCAAGTCGACCCATTATCTTTTTTTTTTTATTTGTATGTGTGTTTTTTTGTTTTGTTTTGTTTTTTTGGGGGTAGGGGTGAGGATGGAGGAGAACCTTGCTAGTTTTTTTTCCTGTCTGTGTTCCTCTTAGGGAGATGTCGCTTCACAATCTGCAAGGCCAAGATGTGAAGGGAAGTCTTTTTCTTCTATGCTAATAATGTTTTTATTCCTGTGTGTGCTTATCTATCCAGGTGACAACTGTATCCCCTTCTTTCTTGTCCTGCGGCTGCAAGGACAGTAGTTGAGGGAAAATATCCCCAATGGGATTACAAACAGAAATTTGTTTTTTTCACATAAAAACTTGACTCTTTACAAATGGCATTTGGTTAAAAAAAAAAGCAGCAAACACAAAAATACATGTTTTATTGTTCATTCATGTATCCCTTCCATAAACATATATGCATTAATCTCATAATACCATCGTTATTCAAAAGAATATCTTTATTATTAAGTGTGTGCTTATTTCCTTTAATTTATGTTTCTTTATAAAGCTTATCATTCTTAAACTAATATTCAAAACACAGTTTTTGCAATGGTGCAAATTTCGGGAAGCAGTCCTCAATTCCGCGTTACAGTTTGTTTATCACAATATAACAGTTAAAACTTATTTCCACAAAATCAATCAAAATTTCCAGTAAATAAAAATCACTGAGTTGGTCTTGGTGGCACGCCCCAGGAAAAGAAATAAGCCATTTGAGACTTATCTCAGAGCTTTCAAACCATAAGTCGTGCATCATAAAGGCATAAATCCTTGCTAATGTGTGTGTGCTATTGGGATTACAATGATAACTGCCCCCTTAGGAAAATTAGATTCTTTCTAAGTTTCTTTATTGGAAGACTGGCACTGCATTTTAGACATAGGTTTCTGAAAATTAGCAAAAATTAATGTAGCATTTAGAGAAGTGTTATTATAAGCTTGCATTATCTTAGAACTTTAGGATGCCTAATCATTCTTCATTTTACATTTTATTTATATATTTCCACTGATTTGTAAAAAAAAATCTTTGAATTCTATGGAAAGAAGATGTATTCCTAGCTTTCCTTAACATTGATGCAATTTGATTTTAAATAACCTTTTCAATCAAAACATAACAGATATGCCATTATTCTATAAAACTGCCTTAGTGACATATAGTGTAATGTTTAATATTGTATTTGGCATATCTTTAAAAAAGTTTAGTGTTATGAAACATGTAAAAAACACTTGGAATCTAATAATTTTTCTCCTTCTCTGATTCTTCCACCCCCCTTTCATCTGTATGCTAAGAAAATGTTTAAATCAAACTTTATAATTTTTTTATTACACACCTTATTTTGGAACCAATTATGTAATCACTGAGTCTATGTAATGCAGGCATATCATGGCAGATGGTAGGAGCCAGCAGGGTTTTATAAAACATTACAGCACCATGCCCCTGTACTCTTCTCAAGAACTCTAAGCCCTGATGTGAGCAGTGGACTGGCTATTGTGAGGACATACGGAAATATCAAAATACCTTGATGGGTGGATGTCAGGAGGGGTGTGTTCTCCTAAGCAGGCTGTATTTGTAACTAGACTGGGCTAGGTAATGCCAGCATGTAACGGATTGGTAAGCTGCTATATATAAATTGTTTGTTCTTGAGTTTAATATGTAATAAATGCATTGTTCTCTACAAAATCTTTATCAAAATCATAAAAATGCTGTTTTCAGATTTTTTCTCGAATGTTGGATAACTTTACAGAAAGAATGCAAGATAACTCCAAGATTCTTGTCCTCTTCTACAATATGGCAATACTGACTCCACAAACTCATTCATATTGGATGAGAACAATTCTAGAAACCCCCTGAACCAAAATAGCAGTGTGGGTCTACGTGACAACTCACCTGTCTGCTCTTCAAAGACTTGCCCCAACAAAAGAATGTCTTCCCTTCCCCATAAAAGTGGTGGACTCTTTGACTTAAAACAGCATTATACTTATTTGGTATATAAATATATTTGTATTTGTTTCTGCTAATTTTTCTTTTGTATCATTCCTTAGACATTTACATCATTGATTTTCTTACCCTAAATCCATGGAAATATTTTTTTTTTCAAAACAAACAGCAAAAACACATGCTGAATAGGGGACAATGCTGCTATCAATATAATTATAGAAGTCATATAAATTAACTGTGTATGAAGAAAGAGATGAAGAAGAGCTAGATACTGTACATATTTTAATATGATGTCAGTATGTGTTTTGAAATACCAATTAACTGGTTACTTAATTACAGGAGCATTCATGAAGATTATGAAGACATCCAAATCACCAGGAAAATATGAATCAAAAGGTTAAGATGTCCTGCCATGTTTTTTTTAATGAAATCCATGGTTAGATAATTTTATAAGCAAAAAAAGGTTGGTGATATCTGAATGTATAGCATTCATTTATTTCAGATTGCATACAATTAATTCTTCTCTTCATCGCATCTACGTTTATACTAAGAGATCTCCATTTTGCTACTATGTGGATATTGGCAGCCATGTTAAGGTTGCATGTTAAGGCCGGTGGGTTTCCATCATATCTGGTATCATAGTATAAGGCGACTATATACTATACTAGAAAATCTACAATTTCTGGGGGAAATTGTGTGAAGTGTTCTTGCCTCCACCAGTAGTCTACAACTGGAGTGGGCAGAGTAACTGGGTGGAGTGGCTTGTCACTCTGCTGCCTGCTCACACACCTGGGTTCCTATGGCAACTCACTCTACAACAAAGACAGAGAAGAGCGTTTAAAAACAAACTGCTCCAACTTGCTCACTTCACTGGCGGTTGCCATTTTCAAATGATTGTAGTTTAAAAATTATAAATCCTACAGCAAAGAGCTTTATATTGTGAGAATCGCAAGACCCAGACCTACATTTTGATGTAGTATGTCTCTGAAATATTAAAAATGAAGGCACAGTCGCAGTTTAGAAATTGCCCTTCAAATTTGAGGTGGCTAGAGTGGAGTTTAAATGAATGTCAATGGGCGGCGTGAGTTGCAAACAAATGGTCATATTGTGAAAACTATCAGGACTATGGCTTAGCCATGGACATTTTTAGTGGCAGCAGGGATAGCTGAACGTTTTGATATAAGATTTGTGTAGGTGGGTTTGAAAATGAGGGAGTGATGGCAGTTTAGAAATCATGTCCTGATTTTTCAGCTCACACTCTAGCTTTTGTCAGCTCCCACTCTAGTTTTGAACATTCCGCCATTCATTTCTATGGGACCAATTTCCCCACAAAAACGCCGATATTTTGTGAACCATTCTGCAAAACGTTCCACAAAGTAATAGCACACCAATCGGGAACAATCCGCACGTTTAGTATATTACTGTCTATGTAGTGTAAAACTGTGGGAGGAGTTAGGGTGGTAAATTTGGCTATAATAATAAGAATATATATGTGAGATAACAGTAAGTGGTCTTGCCATACAAGAACACTTAATAAGGTTAGATGCAAGCTTTAGAAACAGGCTAGTAAGATCACTTTATGAAGTACATTCAGAAAAGAATTAATTACCTTTACTAGGTGTAGTGTAGGAGTAATGGAAATATTAATAAGATCAGTAAATCCTGTACGGTCCCTTTCACAGAAAGTTTTCAATCTTGTCTGCCTGTCAGTTTTTCAGGTGGACCTGATTGGAAGTTGTGTCAGTTTATGTCCACCTACCTCTGATTCTGTCCAGGTCTGGAAATAAGAATAGAAAAGGACCTCATCCTTTTCTATTTTTCCAGACCTAAACGTAGCACATTTGAGGTAGATTGACATAAATGGATATAAGTCCACTTACATCTGATCACCCATTGAGCTATCATGGGTCCACTACAGTCCATTGTCACATGCTGCATGGACACAAACAAAACTAACATCCATCCCTTCAAACTCCAATTCAACAGGAGATCTGCTCATGGATCCCTTGGTAACCAGAGCAGAGAGGCACCACGTGAAAGGGCCCTAAAAGCCAAGTTAGCATTATCCCCTTCTGTTTGCTAAGCTTCCCAATTGGTTCCTTAAAGCAGACCTTGCACCAAAAGGCAAGATCTGCTTATTCAATACTTCCAACAAAAATCTTATTGGAACAATTGTGAAGTGTTCCTTTTCTGTGTAAAATCTGGGTGTAAGCTAAGTAAATCTTCTAACGTTTCTCCATAGGTTTTTTTTTTGTACAGATTTAATGCGGTGGTTTTATATGATAAGATGAGACAGTATTAAATAAACAAACCTAACATTTGGGTGCAATCTATTTTATTGTGATTGGCGGCCTTTACTGCTGGGACTGATTGAAGCTCGATCGTGACATAAAAAGTTAAGCGTTGCATTTTACTTTAAATACTTTTGTATTTGCTGTTGAAGGCTGCATCTACATTTTTTCAGTTTATGTTAAATTTGTAATGTCCAGGGTATTGAGAGGTTTATTTTAAATGAACGCTTTAGCAAAAATGTGGAAAAAAAAAAACAAAATACATGCACTGTCTTATATCACACATATTATTTTGATAATATGAACACTGTTTTAAAATGTGTATTATTTTAGGTGTTTGAAGTAGAACAAAAAAAAAATAGTCTGAGCTGCAGTTGCACTTTAACCACTACCCTGCAGGGCACCTATACCCCCTTCCTGCCCAGGCCAATTTTCAGCTTTCAGCGCTGTCACACTTTGAATGACAATTGTGCGGTCATGCAACACTGTACCCATATAAAATTTTTATCATTTTTTTGTGACAGATAGAGCTTTATTTTGGTGGTATTTAATCAACTCTGGGCTTTTTATTTTTTCTTAAATAAACCACAAACCACTGAAAATTTAGTTTTTGTTATAAAATTTTGGAAACAAGTGATTTTTCCTTCACTGATGTGCGCTAATGAGGCTGCTCTGATGGGCACTGATAGGCTGCACTGATGGACACTGATAGGTGGCACTGATGGGCACTGATGAGGAGGCACTGGTAGGTGGCACTGATGGGCATTGACAGGCATCACTGATGGGCACTGAAAGGCAGCACTGATACAGGCACTGATATATGGCACTGGTAGGTGGTACTGGTAGGCAGCACTGACTGGCACAGTTAGGCGGCACTGACTGGCACTGTTAGGCGGCACTGACTGGCACTGTTAGGCGAAACTGACTGGCACTGATAGGCGGTACTGACAGGCACTGATAGGCGGCACTGATGCTCGCTGAATGGCGGCACTGACTGGCACTGATAGGTGGCACTGACTGGCACTAATAGGTGGCATTGATTGGCAGCACTGATGGGTGGCACTGATTGGCATTGATAGGTGGCACTGACTGGCACTGATGGGTGACACTTAAAATCAGCTCAGATAGGCACTAATATGTGGCACTGATGTGGCACTGATGGACACTGGCACGAGGCACTGATGAGCACTTACACAAGGCACAGATGGACACTGACAGGTGGCACTGCTGAGACTACACTGATCATCAGGGAACACTGATCAGCAGTTCCCTGATGATCAGTGTACATGCCCCCTCCGCGGAAAGCTCTCCTCTCCTCTTGAGCTGTCAGTGTGACAGCTGGAGTGGAGAGAAATGCCGATAACCGGCATTTCCCTGTTTACATGTGATCAGCTGTGATTGGACACAGCTGATCACATGACCGAGCCGACATCTTCGGCTCTTTCTGTGATCAGTGATCCGCTGTGTCCGAGGGATACAGCACACCGCCGATAGCTGAGCTGTGCGCTCCCTAAGCCACGCATGCGCGGTGAGAATGGGAGGACATCATATGACGTCCTCCCAGAACGAGAGAACCACCTTGCGTCCATCATATTACTATATGGCAGGCGGGAGGTAGTTAATATTCTGTGTGTATTCCTTTTTTCGTTTTTACTGGTCAAAGCATATTTTTCCATAGGTATTGGTATTTATCTGTTGCGCTACACAGCAAGAATGTAAAAACTGCTTAAACAGAATAAAGTGTGAACCATAGAGCTTTTATTCTTTCAGTGGATTTCCCCTTCCTGATGGGAAGACCATTAAGCTTGGTCTTGGAAAGTTCTGTATCTAGGATACATTCTACACTGCGCTTTTTGACTTCTCTTGTTATAGAGGGTCAAATATAATTGTTAAGAGTACATCTTTTCCCGGTGGTGGCAGTGATCATGGGAATCCTCAAGAGGGCCTGTGGTGAATTTAAATTACACATTCAAGGGGCCTTATTTTTTAATTTTTTTTATTATTATTATTATTATTATTATTATACAGGATTTCAATAGCACCAATAGTTTACATAGTGCTTTACAACAAAATGTATTTTATTTTTTCTTCTTTCTTTCCATGGACATTTTACTTTATACGTAAGATTATTCAAACTATTGATGAGTATAGTTAGGTATAGTCAGCTCACTAGAAGCTTATGATCCTGTTGTTAAGCCAGGACATATAATAAAGTCTATAGTCTGTTTTAAGAGTACATAGTTTGTTGTAACGCACAAATGGCAGCTATCCCAGAGTGAGCCAACTCTACGAAAATAAAGTGAAAAGAAAGGGGGAGAGAGGCACCCACCTTCTAAGCACAGTATCACAATTATGATATATTAGACACCGTTTAAAACACTTACAAGAGAAAAATGATATGAATGCCCATCAAGTATGTAGTGAAGGGGAACCTGGATATGCAGCCTTCATCCACAATCTTTAGAGGTCAGTCTAACCATAGATGTCATCGCTGTGGATGGGAGAGGAGCCCCAGAATGCTGCAGCCAAAACTAGAAGTGCCTCGCAAGGCCTCAAGGCTTTTAGAAGGATCAGTAAGCTCTAAGAGCATATCCCTCTGCCTCTTCCCTTCTGTGATGTCACATCTGCCCAGCATTTGCAGTCCATGCTGATAACAACGAACTTTCAGTTTTGGCTGCAGCATTCTGGGGCTCCTCTCCCATCCACGGCAATAACATCCAAGGTCAGGTTGACCTCTACAGATTGCAGATGAAGACTGCACATCTAGGCTCCCCTTTACTACATACTTGATGGGCGTTCATATCGTTTTTGTCTTGTAATTGTTTTAACTGTGGCTAATCTTAATTGTGATACTGCACTTAGAAGGTGCCTCTCTCCCCTCCTTTCTTTTTCCTGCAAAATATTAATGTATGTGCATGTCGGTATCAAATTGAAAAATAGTGGAATCACAAAATATTTTTTTCCTTCACAGGGGTTTATTGTACATACAGTGTATATATATATATATATATATATATATATATATATATATATATATTCACACTTTTTTCTGTTTAAGCTGTTTTAACATTGTTGCTGTGTAGCGCAACATATAAATATCAATACTTATTTTACTGTGATGAATATCTTATTGTATTGTTGCATTTTTTACATTTTTTATAATGTTTTCTTCTCTTATGTCTACAAGCGAGATTAATGCTTTGTTCCCTTAATATTCTTCTATAGAAATTGCAGCTTTGTTACATAAGCACTGTGATATAATCAACAGAAAGCTAAAGCATGGAGATTATATATGAAATCAAAGAATACTGAGGAATATTGGTGGTTTTTACTGATAAGTAAGCACAGATTTCGCTAACATTTATTCAGAAAAACATAAACATTTTTAAAAGCGTAACATGATATGAATATATATTTTGTATCTCTACAATCAATTATTATTATTAGTATTATTACTACCACTATCGCATAAATTATAGCCATTTTATAGCCAAATTGTACTACATATTATTTCTGATAGTCCAACAGCTACAGATTCCATTTACCCCAATTATCTGTGTTTCTGTTTTATTTTAGTTAGGCAAAGCTAGGCTGTATATGAAAGGTACATTAACATGCAATGATTTTCAAAATTGCTGATTTGGGCTTGAAATAAATTATCTGTAGAGTACATTTCTGGAAAGCAATGTTATCATCTAACAGACAAACTCATCAGCAGTGCATTAACTGAAACTTTGATGTCCCCAAATGGTGGAAAAAAAATCAACTACACTTGTGTTTATGTTATAGGTAAGAATAAAGCCATCGAGAGAAAGCAAAGTAATTGATGAGAACAACAGGGAACTAAAGTCTGACTTTGTTTTTATTTTGTTTGTATAAACTCTATTAGCATGTTGAAATAGAAGAGAAAATATAAAGGTAAATATACCATTTTAACGTCTAAAACCACAAACAACCAACTCTCACCCCTTCCCCTCCAGTCACTGGTTTTCCCCTTCAGTCTCCTTTCACCATTCAACACAAGTATAGGAATATATTCCTTGGCCCTGTAGTTGTAGTTGATGATGTAACTATTGTTGTGCTCTTTAGTCTGAGGGCCTGCAGGAGAGTAAGCTGTACCTATTTTGCAAAAATCTAATTTCTCCTGTCTCATTCATTCTGTGGATCTCCACCTCTGTTGCTGCTTCTTTTTTTTATTTAATTCTTTATTTAATCATGGAATTCGACAGGCCGATACAAAACAGCCAGCCCATAGTACATTACCAGGTAACATTGCCCCAAGTGTTATACAATTGTGTTTTTAATCTGCTAATTTTTGGATGTGTTCACCTCAACAGGTATTTATTGCACTTATCCAACTGATATGGCAAAATGCTTTCAATGGTATACTTTATGTACTGTAACAGACCAAAAGTGACCAAATGCAAGAAGCTCATTGCTAGGATTTACTTAATCTTTCAAAAAATGATAATCACTATACAATATGTTGAGAGCTGTATTCTCTAACAAATACATTCATGTTTTAGAATTCAGAGCATGTCTTGCTTCTTGTGCCATATGTTATAGATACACCTTTTTTCTATGTTAGAGATCCCTAAATGACTTTTCAAACATAGCATACTATCTATACATCTCAAAACTGTCCTCTGTCTTCTTTTAAATACACAATGTACAGAAAAAAATTTAATATAGGTAGCTTTAATTGAGAACAAATAACATTCCATACTGTCATTATCAACATAGCTTTCAAGCATTCTTCCATCTTGTATGTATATCTCCAGCCACGTACATTTCATTTACACTACATACATTTGCGTTTTACCTTTAATGTACACATGCTTCGTTATAATATATACATGCATGCAATGTTAACTGCTTTATGGCTCATGCTTTAATAGTGAATGCAGTGATTTTTATTTAAACACAGCGCTTTTTAAATCACTTTTTAAAGCAGTTAAATACTCACTCTCTTCTGGAAACTTCTGGAAACTTACATTCACATGTGTTTTATACTAACTCCGTACTGAAAAGTCGCCATCCATAGTTCATTACCCTTTATTGTCCAATAGTCATTCACTGAACATGAACCTTTCCCCCTTCAAAGGCTCAGGCTGCCATGTTTAGGTGGTAATTAATATTCTTTAAGGGTTTTCTAAAGAGTAGTGGGGAACTGGAGGGAGTTAAATGTCTGCCCTATTGCACCAAAATCATATAAATCCAGCTTGGATGGAACTGATCTTTAAAAATTGAAGGATAATACCATTTCACTTGGATTCCATCAAAGAATGCTTTTGGAATCCTATAGAAAAAAAGTGATAAAGGCTCACTGTGAAAATAAACTTTTGCAAATGTTCTTCAATCTTATCAGGAAAAATGACATATTTTTGTAGTTATTACTTTTATACTTTAAGAGATAAAAAATTGAAATGAAATACTTCAAATTAGATTCAGCAAACTAATTTGTTCTTGGTTTGCTGCACTTTGTTTAATTCACTGTGAAATATTGCATGATTAAGCTCCATTTCATAAATGTTTAACACGTGGATGTAGCATTGCCAACGTTGTCTGAACAAAAAATGGCGAATAGTGAAAAGTGGGCAGACTAGCAAAAAGACAAACATAAAATAGGTAATTTGAATATTTCACATTTACCATTTGCAACCAGCAGGTGGAGCCTCGTGTAGGGCCTGTTATCTAAAAAATCTCTTTTTTTCTGGCAGTTGTGTGTTAATTAGTTAGGAAAGCTGGCCAGAGTAGCTTTATAGTAGTAGTAGTCATAGTTATCAAAATCAGTAAAATAAAATGTTAAAGGATAACTAAACTCAAGAAAAAAATGTAATATACTGCAGATGATCTTGCCAGAAATGTTATGTCATTTTCCCATGATCTGAACTGGAAACATAATACACTTTTATCCATATTTGAATTCTAGCCTAGATAGCACCCATGTCTCCCTCTACAGATACCCTGGAGGAGGCAGTGTAGCCACCCGGGACAGGAAGTGTGTTATTCACTGAATTACTAGATACAAATAAATGCAAACTAAATCTGAAAAAAAACAAACTAATGCAGCCATCCCA